AGCTCAGAGTTGTGAGCTGAAGCTCAACAAAAACTTAGTGGTAACAATATCCTCCTAGTTTTGATTTCGGGACGACGAATGGCTGGTTAATTTAACTAGATTGAACAGGTTCCGAATAGTGTAAGAGTCACGCACGCGTCGTTTTTTCCCCATTGGTTGTAATAATCAGAAGCTCCCTGAGACCCCTACTCATTTTTTGACGTTCAGTCTTGTTAGCTTTTTTGGAGGTTCTCATTCCCGTGGAGTAAAGATGTGGCCTGTCTAGGGAAGTCAGGATTTACCTTCCAGGGACAAGAAATCTTAAGGAAACATGACGAATAATGCGCGTCTTCCAAGAGATTACCGTAAAATACGCTTAGAAAAGCGTCGAAATAAGACCGATAGCTCCTTATGATTTTATATAAAGCATACTTTTTCTGTTCATGAATCTTAATTTCCTCATTGTTTGCTTGTGAGATGCGCTACGGTTAAGCGCATGGCGCACTACAGATTAGACCGTGAATGTGTGAAGTTTTCAACGAGTTATTTCATCCATTCTTTAGTACCACATTCATTTTGTATAACGTTTTGTTGGTACCAGTTACCTAAATCTTAGCCATTTGGAGTTGCAAACAAATAAAAACTGAATAACTTGCTCTTTTACTTACAGAATCTTACATGCGATAGGACGAAACCTCAAACCGAAGCACTAACCAGTACTGATCCTTCTACACCAAAGCCTGAAGACACTTCCTCACCAGTGGAATCAACAACCATAGCAGTTTCGTCAGATCAAAAATCTTCATTTAGCACAAAATCTTTACACGCAATGGAGCAGGTCAGTTTCACATCTCAAGATAAATCTAGCTCTACACCAACTGATACTGCAAAAGAAAGTGCGGTCATCGAAAGACGGGATTCGGGAGATGTGAAGAGGTCACAGGCTCCAGCCCCACCACCGCCTCCACCCGTGGCAAAGCGTCCAAGCCTGGCACCAGCAACTGCTAAGGCTGCAGCGGAGAAAACAGTGCCACCCAATGTCAAACCATTGAGCAGAGGAGCAGTGATGACAGCAGAAAAGAGGAGTGAAACAACAAAACCTAAGAAAACGGAGGCAACGGACACTGAGAAAACCGATTCGGAGCAAACTAGTTCTAGAAGTGACTTCGTCTGAATAGTCTGCGATTAAACGAACTCCGTAAATTCTAGTGATAACGTGCTCTAATTGGAATAATTGATTGGGAAATATGGAAGTTACACGTCGTTAATTTCACTGTCTCTTTTCGACCACTTCTGTTGCTGTTGTACCCGTCCTCACTGATGACTTTCTGAAAGAATTTCAAGCATATCACAGGGATAGAAGTAAAGAAACGCGACCAGTATCTGTGTTCGGGAGAGATATAGACGTCTTCTACCCACTCCCTAACATTCAGGTGCATTTGTCTGTTCTTAGTTTTATTTCCAGTACAGGGTGTCTTCATCATCCAAGCTACTGACATTGCACATATGTGAACGGAGTGGCCTTTGGACGAGCTCTTTCATTTAGCGAAACGACTGCCATCACAGGAAGACCGTCGAGGAAACCCGTTTTCCTCAGAACCCTTGATTCGATCAAACTTCGCGAACTCCCTTTCCGTTCAAGAGTGACAAAATGCCACCATCCTACCTTGGAGCGATCTTCGGTACACATGAAGAAGTAACTGTTCATTGGGCTGCTGAGAATTCCCAGGGTAGTAACACAGCGCAAATGTCTGAAACTTTGTGTTTTCTCAGTCTATCTCAATTGAGCCAGCAGGAAACATGGTGTGACATGAAGGCGTTTCTTTTTACCGTCCTCAGTCACGGACGTAGAACACGTAGGTCAGATTCAATAAAAATTAGGATATTATTAAACATACAGTTGATGGTTGGTGTTAAGAATAGGTTAATTATCCCTACGATAACCGTATGTTTCAGAAAGTTCCTTGCACATAGGCTTGATTGAAATCAATAATTGGTGCTTTACTGAGCGTTGAAATCTTGAAGGTGGTGTTGTACACCAAAATTTAAGAAGAGTTTGTAGATGGTCTGGGTGTCTGTTTTCAAGTGATGTCTGACGAATGATGATGCAGGGTTGCGAGTTGACCCCGGGCTAGTGGGCCGTTGCCCTGACAGCATCCAAATCGAACATTTGAGACAAGTCGGTCTGTCCGTCCCTCTAAAGGCTCGTCTGTTCCGCCAGAGCAGTAGCCGCAAGCGATCTCGCATAAATCGCAAGAGACAGTCAGTAGACAATCTGGGTTCACATTTCTGGAGAAATAGTTCCAAGATAATCGGTATGAGACGCAGTTGGGATGCTATATAGACACGCTAAAAAATACACCCAGACTGCGTGATCTGCCACTTGATTCACGTTTAGATCCGACAAGTATGTTAGGCTGAGTATAAGTAGACGTTTTCCAAATCGCTTGTGTGTCACCAACAGAACACTTATCAAATACAACCTTCGGGTACGCCACTCTTCTGTATGGCTCGAGTTTGGCGGTACATCAGTATATCGGTATGTCAAAATGCAGCATGTACTGGTGAGACTCTGAACTTTTCGTGAGATCATCTAAATTTGGTATTCACCAGTATTTGATCATCAGTGGTGAGGCGAGTGAGGGTCTTCTGAAAACAAGAAGTTTCTGGAACGGTGGCCTGAATTCAAGTGAAGAACAGACTTTGGGAAGTGGATATCTAGCTAGTTTAAGTAAGCACCAATTAGGAAGACCATTGATCCTCGTGGTAAAACTCAGCAGGAAGTGGTTTGGGACTGCTGTAGTTCCACATAAATCAGGGATATTTGCGTTCATTCGAAGAATCAGAGGCATGGCTAACATAAGAATAGTGTCTCAGATGGGGAACACTCTGTATTGTGCACTAGAGAACTTTAGAGGGAAGCTTTCGGGTAAATAGAAACAAGGATTGTGTATACAGAATCAGGTCCAGCAACCATACTAATTTAAATTGGATAACCGCCTAGAGAACTTCACATCAGAATTAGCGAGCAAAATTGAAAAAATTAATAAAACGCAGAGAAACGGATGAATTTTGAGCACTGCCGAAAGACATAACAATGATGACTCATGGACTAGATAGGGAATACTAAACCGATTTCGAAACTGCTGAAGTTTCGAGGTGGGTACTACGATTTGCACCACAGAGGCTGATGACCGAGGTGGTGTGAATCGCGGAACATCTCGATATGTGTTGAAGAGGGGGCGTATGAGTGGCAGGCGTATGGATAATGGTTCTAAACCAGTCAAGCTGAAGCGTGGCGGTCTGCGGTCATCAGTGAAGAGGAGTAACTGACAGAAGTAGCTTACACCTAAAGTGAATTCCCCCCCCCCCGAACCCCACTAATGAACGCATACAGACCAACAGAATTTACCAGTGACACTCAAAAGACTAATCGCTTGAAGCATTCTAAACCAGAAGGCCAAGTACCTAAACCCCTTCGCTCTAACCTATGGTCCACAAGGTAAAGAAATCCGCAGTGACCGACAAAAAGTTTTAACCGATAGTCAACAGTGATCTATTGCGCTAGTCCAAATAAATTTTGCTGATTGGTTCTCCTTCTGCCAGTCAACGCTTTAATCTACCCACCTTGACAAATAAGCCTTTGTGTCAAAAGCAGAACGTTGTCCAGCTACAAATCCACCTGTTACTTAACAAACTCCTCTGAAACGACAGTCTTTGTAATTCAACCAATGGATTTTTGCTTGAGCATTCAGCTTTCGAGAAGCCCAGAGGGCTAACCAAAACAATGTCAGGTCGTGTATAAAATTTTTACATTAATTCGATTCTCACATTGTATGGGTTAGCCGAAGTTAAGTCTCTAACATAGTAAGTACAAAGCCACAGGCTAAGGTTTCCACCATGCTTAGAATAATATGAGAAGTCAACAGTCCGGTGAGGAGGCAAATTTGATAACAACTTAGAGAGACTGATAGGAAAATTCGCTTGGAATACACCAACATGTTATCGAGGAAGTCCACCGATTCAAAATAGACTGTTATACAATGGGAGACGAAATTTTGCGTCCATAGTCCAAGATTCTCACAAATCAACTAACGATTTGGTGGTGGGTTAAATTTTTCGCGTATAGAATTGTTTCTAATATAGCACATTCCTTGTAGTTTATCCGTGGAATTACAGCTTTACAAGGGTTCAGCTACCTTTATTATTTTCGTGAGGTCTAACCTCGAAGATGTAAGACCCGTAGTTTTCTAACGAATTGTTTCTGGATTAGTGTGTTAGAGTCTGGAGTATTATCTACTTCGAAATTGTGAATATCCGAGTGTCATGAATTCCGTCCAGGAAACCATGTTTTTGTTCATGCACACCGTAGCAGGTCTTCTGCTAAGGTAAAGTAGTACTAGGTGTCTGATCTGTCGGATCACTTTATGGCGCTGAAAACCAGATCAGTGGTTGCTCACATGGCTAAAACGAGTCGTGTGATTGATTCTAGCAAAGCTTTCCGAATACTGTCCTGAGTGACTATCTACCTACCAAGGTCCGTTCAACTTAGTGTCTGGTCACAGCAGAGGAAATCGTGACTCGTTTGCGCAACCCGGATCTTTGCACTGGGAGGACGTTCCTACGCGCATTGAGACTTCCATGGCCTGCTCAGTTGACCGCACATCACTCATGCGCATCGGTGGTGATGTAAACAGTTTACACACTATACAAGAAGCCTCTACTATATTCTTGTTTTAATTGTATGGGTCGCTCGCTTTTAGTTTTGTAACCCTCCGACCTTCATTGACCAGAAGTAGAGATCGCGAAACAATATTGTTCGCCAGTTTGTGCTCTAAATTTTACACAACCTTTGCAAAATCTGTTCCTAATCATGACACTATTTTTGTGTACTGTAAGAGGTTGCTCCGTTGAGTCTTGAACTGAATGGTTCATTAATAAATTTGCGATATGAATGCCTTTGTTTACCACGGTTCACCAACTTAGCTATTTATTGTGGTCTTCGGAAAGACATTTGACAATATTTGATTACTTCGGTTGGAGATTCTCGAAGTTCGAGGTTCAGGTAGTCAACGTTTCATCACTGCATACTTAGTTCTTTGTCCAAATGTAAGTATGTGGAATTCATCCAACCCTAAAAGTATCGTGATTAGCATACCGATCGCCCCCATAGCATCACTGTCAAAAGCGTGGTATCAGGGTGTATTTTTGGGAGTTTTATGTACGCATTTTTTAATGGTCAACTAGGTTTCTTCCAAACATCAATATATTGCACAAATAATCTATGAGAAAGCTCAATACGAAATGTGGTTACTTCTAGCCAAACACTGGCACCTACAGTTGTGTCAGACGTATATCTGTGTGAGCTTTGGGGAGAAGACGCTAAACATGAGGTCAATTTTATAAACTCTGGTGATACATGAATTACAAAATAAGCATGTAACTACTTGCTTCTGGTGAACGAGGGAATGCATTTTGCTGCAAAATTGTTTATTAGAAAACGCGAACTAAGAAGCTACAAGCTGTTGAACACAAAAGTAAACATTTGATATATACCTAATTTAAAAAAACGAATGTCCACACGCGCTCTTTTGAACTTCCCTGGACATTCATTGATTATTACACAATTGAAAACGCATACTGCAGAGCGGTTTCACAATTTCTGTAATAATTTCTGTATTGACCTTCCATCAGACACGGTGGATAGCTTGGAAACCAGACCACGAACCACTCCCGTAATTCATCAGTAACAAACCCCGCTACACACCCTTTTTCCTCTAAAGGTCGCGTGCATACCATCGGTGTTCCACTTGTCTCAGTTAGGTGGGCCTTAGCAGCTGGTCCGTTTGAGACCTCCGAAGCTGGGCATCGTTTACTCACATCAATCCCCGACCGTCCTGAATTGTATGGCCGTTTCCTCCGTAGTCGGTAACGACAAACAGACCTTACCACCGAATGTTTAACTTCCGCGACCCCAACCCAGTCTCTAGGATTCTGATGACCTTCCGATATGAACTTCGCGCCTGTGTGGAACGGCCGTGCCTCCCTACTTGCCGTTTTCTGTCTAGTACTTTTCTGAACGGCGGTTAGGCTTTCTCGAGCTCTCTGCCTACCTTTTCCTAGCTCCACCGGAAATAGGCGTGTTGTCGGCCTCGACAAACTTTCCAAATCAAA